GTGATCGGACTCGCCCAAGCTGAGGTATTGAGAATGTCTATGAATGTCTGAGTTATGTCTATGAACGTGAGTTTGCTGTTTAAGTTCCAATTCTCTTGAAAGCAGTGATGGTAGACGTCTTGAGCAAGAAGCATGAATTGAAGAATCCAACAGCTACAAAAAACATCAAACAACCGAGTGTCCAAGACTCTTTGTGCATTTTGGCGAAGAATTCAAGCTTGTCAGGACCAACCGAAGCGCCCGGACCGAATGGATTTTTCCGAGACCATGGATAATGACCCATTTGTCAACGCTGGCAAGGAGGGGGAAACCTTTGGTGTCAAACAGTCTCCAATGGTAATAGCGGCAATCCCGAAAGGCAATGCTTGACTTCGGAAAGTCTGCTCTCTCTGCTCAAACCTTAGTAAAGTTAGTAAAGAGGGGCAAGGCTGGAACGCATCCAGATTGTTCTTAGTCCAGAGTGCCGGCAGAGCCTGCTTCACAGCCAAGGCGCTCAAGCAGGGGGGTTCAGATAGCAGAAGTGATGACAGAAGTTCCCATCAGGCTCGACCGGATTTGATTGCCTCTTTTCATCAGTTTTCATCCAGGCTTCAGCAGATTCAGCTTGGAGAGACTGAGGATTTCGGCCGTGGTTACGGAAGCCAGCCGGCCAGCTCAGCGACAGCGAAGCTGGAACATGTTGGTGAGACATATATATATATAATTTCAAGATGTTTTAAAGTGCCTAAAAAATCAAATATTACTAAAATTAGTTTCCAAGTAATTTACTATGGTTGGAAAAAATACGTAAATCGAACCTTCTCGGAAAAAAGTAAATTTTGTTTGCATAATGCAAAGTGCATTATGCATAATGTAGTTTGCAGTGTTTGTTTTTGATGTCTTATGCAAACTGCATTGTGCATTCATTGTGCATCATGTAGTTTGCAGTGTTGGTTTTTGATGTCTGATGCAAACTGCATTATGCATAATGCAGTTTGCATTGTTCTAAATTTAGTTCCCCAAGTAAATGTTCATTTAGTAATGCTACTAAATTTAGTTCCCAGCTAAATTTAGTTTTTTATTCTTTGCAGCCTGATACTCTGAGTGCCGCGAGCAGAGCAATCAACTTTACAGTTAACTGTGCATTTTATATGTGATTGTGACAGCATATCATCATATCCTGTCCTTCAGACACTATTTTGTGTGCTGGGCCAACAGGACTTGAACGCATCCCTCCGCCTGCTGTAGATAGGTGTCAGGTGGCTTCCCTTTTACAGTGGTAGCCGGAGCCTTCAGGTTCCTGGTGCCAAAGCTGCGCTGCTTCGTCAGGCTCCGTTGCTAGCATTCTCCAGCGTCTCCCGCAAGCCCTGAAAATCATAATCCTCTGCAACCTGTTCAAGCTGCTCTTCTCTTTCTTCACCAGTTGCCGTGTTCACCTGGGCCTCCTAGTTCTCTTCATCCTCAGGAGTGTCGTCATCCTCCGTGATGTAGATAGATCCACCACCACGTCCACGACCGCTTCGCCAAGAAGAAGCACTTGTAGAAAAAGCAGATGATGGCCAGCTCTTCCGAAATTTGGACAGCGTAGAAAAGTCAGTTGTTGACTTCCTTTGAAAGCCGCCGTCAGGCTTGTGGGGATATCCAGCTCCTTGATGTACCCGCTTGAACAAGCGCAGAGCTTCGCGCGCACAAGCAGCATAGCTATCATAGTTTCAGGACCCAATTAAGGTGGTCTCCAGCACCTGCTTTTGCAGCTCGGTCCACATGATCTTCTGCTTGAAGAACCAACTTATGTTTACACCTTCAGCTTTCATCTCTCCGATCACCGTCCGGAACAGCAAAGTCGGGGATGCTCTCAGACTGACCTCGTTTGTTTTACCCTCTGGTAATTTAACATAGCTATGGAAAATCACCATTTTTAATGGGAAAATCCACTATAAATGGCCATTTTCAATAGCTATGTTAAATTACCAGAAGGTAAAACGTCTGAATTCCACCGCTGGCCAGTCTCCACATCTAGCTCCATCCGGGCAGGCCGGTACTCCAAGTCCTTTGGTTCAAACTCAAGTGCCCGAAGCTTGGCGCTTCCTTTCTGCCGCATAGCAAACCTAACAGCAAGACATTGAAGTCCACTGTCTTCTTCAAGTCGGTGGAGTTCAATCCAGCAGTCCCGCAGGCTGTCAGCTTGTCCATTGCATATGGGGATATAGTCCTCCGCGCGAAACTCAGCAAGGTAACGAAAGCACAACTAATCAGCGAAAGCAGGAAATGATCTGAGGACAGAGAAGGGAATATCAATGGACCGACAGGACACACCAGGACCTCTACCAGAGGGAGACCCACCAGAATAGCCAATTTGAGCAGAAGAATGAACACTTAGGAAAGTGACTTTGTGAATAGAGACGGGTTTGAACAACCCAACAAAACCACTCAACCTCCCAAAATGGAGGTCGCGGAGATTCATGCAATGATGATATGAAGTGAATTTTCCTTTGCAGAATGATGCAAAAAATGTTGAAGTTTCTTGCCGTCAACCCACTTGGGTAAATCAGGATAACAACCCACAAAGTCAAAAAACACCAAGACCCATGGAACTTTGGGCCCTTGCTGATTGACCAGAAACTCTACACAGACATCCTGGGTGTACCTAGACAAAGCCCTGGAAGTACTCACCAGAATAATTCTGCAACCTAGGCCTAGCATTCCGCTGGTCCAGCTGAGGAAAGACATGGGGTTGAACAATGACAGAGGTGAAAGAATCCCGAAAAGTTTGATAAACGTCCCAGAGTCTGTCGAAGTCATTCGGGCGAACGGTCCCGTTTGCACACTTGGTCAAGAATTCACTGTTACACTGCTCAGGAAAAAGGTGTGAAGGGGTTGGATCACTCGGAGGTTGGTCTGACGGGCACAAAAATTGGCACGCACATCGTTCACCCAGCGTGGCAATGATATGGCATTGCCATGACACAGCCACTGTGATCAACTTACGGTAAGGTTCGAGCTTGGCTCTAAACGCATCTCTAGCTACAGCCCTAGCGGCTGCATCCACCATGCTATTTCCATACGTAAGATATGGATCCTGACTAGACTTTGCCGTACAATGGGCCTTTACTTTTATGATATGCACCCTACCAGGACGAGATTTCGCAACGGAGCAAACCAAATTCCAGCAATCCCAGTTGTCCAACTTGTGAATCCATTCGCGAGAAAAATCAGCATCTTGAAGCCTTTAAAAAATTCGAACAACCGTCAAACAACCACTAGCAATGGTGATAGGACCACTGGAATGTGACAACGCCAATACTGCTGCAAAAAATTCCGACCTCTGGCTCGTGCAATCTTGCGTGGGGAGGAGGCACGCAAAATTGCACTCCGTGGAGAGAAAATATGCTGACGCAGCCGTGGCAACCTGGTGCCAATTGCTTTTGCAACAAGACCCATCAATGAAAACAATCTCAGTCGGGAAAAAAGGCCCACCCGGTCGCTCGGGACACGTGAGACAACATGATTCGAACTGAAGAGGGGGAGAACACAACCCCGTGACGCCATGACCAGGCTCGACTGGCGCAGGCCTCGTTCTGGAATAAGCCGGGCAATCACAAAACAAATGCCTCACAGTCTCCTTTTCCCCACACAAGATGCACAAATTATCCGGGGCCAAGCCAGCAGCATGGCCCGTCTGTGCCATCCGCAGCAAGTTCTTACTGTAGGCCCAGCTTCGGGGGATTTTGTCAACATGAGGCTTGAGGAAATCAAACTCTTCATCGCTCCTCATCTTTTGATCAAACAAGAACCTCGTGAGTGAAATGTCTAGCAAGTGGCCTTCAGGAATCCTGCATGTTTCTTGGCGCACCGGCTGCTGCTTGAAAAGATAAGTTCTAACGGAAGAAGCGACAATACCAGAAAAATATTGGTCGCTCCATGCGCTGAAGGGGAATAACCCATGAGGTGTGGATACTGTGAAATCATCAGGTGATAAAACTGCCCAATTCAACTCAGATAATATATACGACAGCACATTTGAAAAACCATGACAGGCCCCTGATTTCGGCGTGGGATCTCTGAGAACAGCTCCTAACGCCCTTTTTGCAATATTTGGGTGGAATTTGACAAGTTTGCGAGCATGGTTCAAGACATGACATGCCCACTTTGCAAACGGATCCAGAAATACATCCTCCAATGTAGCCATGATAGCAAAAGGTGACCGCATGTTGTGAGATGAGGGGTCAAAAATATCACACACTTGCGTACGCAATTTTTGAAGATCTTTCTTGGGGATGCCCTGTGTTTCACTACCGAATACCCATTTGGAGTGGGCATGTGCATGAATGTACACAGACTTCTGGGGAGGGGACAGTGGCAACTGTCGAATCTTTTTAAGACAGTCGCTCGCCTTTGCTACACGGTTTGATTGCATTGTAGCGTTACGGCATTTATTCACCTGTTGAACACGTCCTAGTGATTTAACCTGGGAAGAAACCTGAACTGGGAGTTGGATTTTCTGCTTCAACAGCTTTCCTTTGAGGACCCTTCTAGCCAGGATTTCAGTTTTCTGGGGGTTGAGTTGTTGACCAATGTCTTTATCAAATTGTCGCACAAATTCAAACGCTCCAGCAATTTCATCAACATAGTGGAAGGAACCCCATATTTTTGCATCATCAATAAAAGTCGCAATGGAGACATGATGAAACTGGTTGGTCATGGCCCTGATCATAATGGAATAGAACGCATTTACCATTAAAATCGACATAGAACAACCTTGAATGGCACCGTTTTTGGAAAACACCTTCCGCCCATAAAATCGTCCAATCTTGAATATCTTGATTTGGCCCCGATAAAAACCTGTCAAAGCCCTCGCTACGTTAAGGGGAAGCCCAATGTCACAAGCTATCTGAACAGCAAAATCAGGTACCAACATGTCAAAGCATTTTGCACGATCAAAAAAAATGGCGATGGGATCAGGATTCTGGTCATGTTCATGTTATTCAAGGGAAAAGTCGATCTCATGGGAATCAGCACTCCGCCCGGGTATCCCTCCGAGAAGGCATGATGGGGCGATTGAATTCATCCATGTCGACAAATGTCTAAATCTGAGGGAAGACCACAAAGAATAGACAACACTGCTGACACCAATGGCGCGAATCTGACTCGGGTTCAAAACAGGTCCGTCCTTTTTAGGCAAACATGTCACAGTGATACACTTTACAATATTCGGCCATTCACCTACAGCTTCAACTAGTTTGCATACAAGGACAAAGAGTTGCCAAGCTGACACAGGAAGTTGCTGCAGTTCCCGATATGACCACATGTCAAGACCGGAAGCCTTGGTAGGGGACTTGCTTTGACACAAATCCCAAAAATCTTGCTCATTCAAACTGGGAACGCTAGCTTCGCAGAACGTTTGAGAAATTGAGTCCCGATACTTCTCGCGAAAATATTCAATCTGGGAAGGGGTATCCCATTCCATGTGAATTGTATACGCTTTCCATATGGTCCGAAACAGATTCCAGCATTTCAGATACCGATCCGGACAAGGAACCGTCACTTCGCTGCATCAGTCGCGGCACTGTAGCGAAAGAACCTTTCAACCACCTGTGCACCAACTTTTTGTCAGCTGCGTTTGAAATACGCAGCTTCTTTCGCCAGGCCCTCAGCCCTGAAGCTTTGACTTTCTGGTCGTACTTCTGCACCCAATCTTGGAAGGTTTGGAAATCACTTGAAAAATTCTTTCGTTCTGACAAGAAACCGTCAGGGAAAGGAAAGCAAACCGCCTGGAGTTCACGCTCCAACTTATGAAGGGTTTGATTATAAGAATTTCGCCAAGCAAAGGAAATATTGGACTCAAAAACAGAAGCCTTTCTGATCATTTCCCGGAACAGAGCAGAGATGCGAGCAATTCGCTTTGTTCGAAGCGCGACTTCTTTGGGCTTATTTACAACAGGGGTGACCTGAAACCTGGGGAAAAAACATTTCTGAACACCAGCGCTTCCGGAAATAGCATCTAACATCGATGATACAGCCTGGCATGCCAAGCTCCAGGTAAGCTCCACATCTAAGGATTCGGCACTTTCTGCCACTTTCGGGGCAAACTCACGGAGTATAGGTTCACGTATGGAATCCCTTTGGGCCCATTGGTCGAGGCAGCTAGGTTTTGGTGGGAAAATACATCTTGAACCGGAAGGAATTGTAAAAGCTTTGTCGACAGTGCTGGGAATCACCAAATGAAGCCCAGCCGGGCAATGATCAGGAAGGCCGGATTTTTGTTGAATCCAGCTTTTCTTGAAGAAAGTGCAGCCATCACTATTGGCAAGAACATAATCAATACGGGACATACACCGCCGCCTCCCTTTTCCCCTCTGAAACGTGAATGGAGGTGGAAGGTTGGCAGCAGCACACTCATCTGCAATGACATCGACCCACTCTCCGGTACGAATCGCCTCTGAAATAGCTTGATTGGCAGAGGGGCAAGAATTAAAATCACCACAAATAAAAGTGGGACCATCACCAAGACTAGCCGCAAACAGAAATACCTGAATCATAATCTCAGACCTCTTTGAAACATGGCGTTGACCGGAGGGTAGGTATACGTTGATGATTCGACAAGTGAAAGAACCAGCTGTACAAGTACATGCCTGCGCAGCTTTTTCCAAGCCAAAATCTTGAGGAATTAAGAGCGGTTGCCAAGCTACAGTATTGCGAGCCAGGATCGCGAGCCCCCCATGCGTTTGACGTCGGCAAGGTGCATGAAGCCAGCTAACAGTCCTCTTAATGACCGGCTGAGGGCCAATCAAAACTGTAAAGCCTTGCGTCCGCAATTTGGATACAAGATTCTTGCTTTTGAGAGGGTGAAGTCGTGTCTCTTGGAGGCACATGAAATCGGGAGTGGTTTCGTCAGCACATATTGCAACAACAAATTTAGTTTTTTATTTATATAGTTGGATTTTTACTAAATTTAGTAGCCCAGTAAATTACTAAATCACTATTTTAAACTAAATTATTTTTTTCCCGAATTCAGTAATATTTGATCTTTTGGGTGGTTTGTGGTCGTTTGTAATAGTGATTTTGTAGGATTTGGTATGCTGATTTGGTATTGATTTTGTGACATTTGTCAGACTCAGAGCTGTGACCTCAATGTGTTTGTCAAGATGTCTAATCCATAGAAATCCAGTAGCCATTTTGCTGAAGCCGTCGTATGCTTTGCAATACATAGAGTGATTTTCTATAGAACAAAATGTTTCAGAGGAGAAAGAGGTACTGTGAGCTCTTGTGGCATGTGGTAGAGAGGCCCTGTGTCTCTGTGAAAGAGAGTGCCAAAGCTACGTCAAGATGTCTGACCTGGTAAAGACCTAAGGCAATAGCAGGCATAGAATTCTTCTCTCCACCTCACTCCTCCGCTGTCCGCCACTGTCCTCTCCTACTTCATCTCTTCCTTTTCGGTCCACTCACTGTGTTGCTGGCTTTCGTTTCTTCCTTTTCAGGTTCGCGCAGGAACAGAAACCGACAGGGTTTTACTTCAACAAAGAGAAGGGTCGCTGGATGGAGCATGGAAAGGAGGAGACCAACATGTTTGGCATTCCCGACCTTCGGGCTTGGGTTGATAGGCAGCTCTTGCCATCGGTTTGACATTAAGTGGTAGAATAGTTTTTCAATGTTTTTTATAGTTTTTCATGATTTATCTTTTGTTGGATATTTCTTGCCTGCCTTCGATGACAGGAGAACGAGCAGGAGGACATCTCACAGTACGATCCCATGACTGGCAAGAAGATTACCAAGGCTGGTCAACTCAATTTGGCACTTTCAAAAAACCAGCGGTGTATTGTGAAAAAAGTCGGGTTCTACAAACCTATTGAAAGGGTTAGGTGGGATTCTAAACAACTAATAACAACTATATATAAACAAATACGTAGAACCGGTTCGCAAGCAGGTTTTTGATGCTCAGGTCGCTGAGCTTCCGCCACCACCAATGGGTGGAATGGGTGGGATGGGTGGGCCTCCAGTGCCTAGACAGCAACTATGGCCAACCCCTCAATACTAAGAAGAAAAGATGAATAAAGATACATATAGATACGTGATACATGATCAAAACTATAGTTGATAAATATTGAATTTTTACGTATATATATATATATATACAATTAGCCTACAATTTTCACAATTCCATTTTTCTTCCCTGATTTTAGTTTCCTACATCGATTGTGACATAATTTATCACATTCAACATTTTTCCGAATATCAAGCATAATATTATCATTACGACTAATATTGCAGTACTAACACTACAGTAAGGGATCGCACCGCACGCGCGCGCCCGATGCGGCAGCTCAGAAATCGAAAAAAGGTCCATTATTTTGGAAGTTTTCCCGAAGACGGATTTAGTATCCTCAAATACTTCCGCGATGACTAAATTCCGCGATTTTTTTTGCGTTTCGAGAATCATTTGATTATTATTTTCTTTTTGCGCTCCTAGATTCTCCTACCACGTGTATTATTTCACGATTCCTTGACGGTTCCTAGAACTTCAACGGATATCAAAAACTCACCTAGTTAAAACGCCTAGGTTTACAGTAACCTAGCCTTTGTGAAGCTGGTCAATTTTGATGAAATTACAACTTACTAGTAGTGTTGATGCTTCAAAGATATGGGATGATATGGGTCTTCTGTGAAAATAGGCTACCCCATTCGATCTCATCCGGTTGATCATCACATGTTCTCCTGTTTTTTCATATTGGTTCTATCTAAATGGCCATAGAAATGGGGGGCCCATCCCCCACCCCAAGGGGACCCTGGAAGTAGCCTGCGCTAAGGATCAACGACCGGTGGAAGTGGCAGCGCCTTTGAATCGCCAGACGAGGCGGTGATGTGATGATCTCCCAGTACCAACAGCAGCAAAATATGAAGCTACTATGAGATTTCATGGGATCTATGAATATATGTATACAATTGTATACACATACATGTATTATACAGTAATATAACAATATATATATAACAATATATATATATATGTATAACAATATATATATATATGTATAACAATATACATATATATATGTATAACAATATATATATATATGTATAACAATATATAACCAAGATGATGACTTGGTTTGTCTGAAAAATGAGAGATGGGACTTCATTTCGTTGCCATTGAAACATGGGAAACATGATTAAGCATGATTGACCAGTGGACCCTATGTTGGAGACATGTATGACTCTGAATTTACTTCCCTTGGCGCTTGTGAATTTTTGGACATCTGAAATCGTAGGACGTGTGGAAAGTCTATATACTCTCTTGTTGTCTAGAAGCCAAGATATGGGCAACGCCTAAAGCCCGCAATGCTGTCCCGGCATGCAAACTCCTGAAGTGGTTGTTTCCTTTTCGGTCCACTCGCTGTGTTGCTGGCTTTCGTTTCTTCCTTTTCAGGTTCGCGCAGGAACAGAAACCGACAGGGTTTTACTTCAACAAAGAGAAGGGTCGCTGGATGGAGCATGGAAAGGAGGAGACCAACATGTTTGGCATTCCCGACCTTCGGGCTTGGGTTGATAGGCAGCTCTTGCCATCGGTTTGACATTAAGTGGTAGAATAGTTTTTCAATGTTTTTTTAGTTTTTCATGATTTATCTTTTGTTGGATATTTCTTGCCTGCCTTCGATGACAGGAGAACGAGCAGGAGGACATCTCACAGTACGATCCCATGACTGGCAAGAAGATTACCAAGGCTGGTCAACTCAATTTGGCACTTTCAAAAAACCAGCGGTGTATTGTGAAAAAAGTCGGGTTCTACAAACCTATTGAAAGGGTTAGGTGGGATTCTAAACAACTAATAACAACTATATATAAACAAATACGTAGAACCGGTTCGCAAGCAGGTTTTTGATGCTCAGGTCGCTGAGCTTCCGCCACCACCAATGGGTGGAATGGGTGGGATGGGTGGGCCTCCAGTGCCTAGACAGCAACTATGGCCAACCCCTCAATACTAAGAAAAGATGAATAAAGATACATATAGATACATGATCAAAACTATAGTTGATAAATATTGGATTTTTATGTATATATATATACAATTAGCCTACAATTTTCACAATTCCATTTTTCTTCCCTGAGTTTAGTTTCCTACATCGATTGTGACATAATTTATCACATTCAATATTTTTCCGAATATCAAGCATAATATTATCATTACGACTAATATTGCAGTACTAACACTACAGTAAGGGATCGCACCGCACGCGCGCGCCCGATGCGGCAGCTCAGAAATCGAAAAAAGGTCCATTATTTTGGAAGTTTTCCCGAAGACGGATTTAGTATCCTCAAATACTTCCGCGATGACTAAATTCCGCGATTTTTTTTGCGTTTCGAGAATCATTTGATTATTATTTTCTTTTTGCGCTCCTAGATTCTCCTACCACGTGTATTATTTCACGATTCCTTGACGGTTCCTAGAATTTCAACGGATATCAAAAACTCACCTAGTTAAAACGCCTAGGTTTAACCTAGCCTTTGTGAAGCTGGTCAATTTTGATAAAATTACAACTTACTATGATAAACGTGAAAAGGGCATGAAAACCCCGTGAAAAATATGGGTCTGGATATTTTATATTTTTTGTAATTTCCTATATTATATTTCATTGGAATAGATTAATTGATTATATTAGATTACATTGTATTTCGATATATTATATTAGATTGAATTATATTATATTAAATTAGAATATATTAGAATATTATTTTATGTTATATATATATATTGTATTGTAAATTGTGTTTTATTGCAATAGATTCCTAATATTCAGGATGCATATTATTATTATATATATATATTTATGTGTGTGTGTGAAACATCCGAAAAGATGTAAAACTTCTAACCGGTTTGTGATTTGTTGAATTTACATAACGAATTTTATTTTCAGCAGGGAAATGATGGACTATGTTTGATCTCAGTAGGATCTGGTCTAAGTTCAGCAACAAAGGAGTAAATGCAACTGACAACGTCTTAGTTTGCAGGTGAGTCGTAGACCGTTGGCATGGCCCGCTGTGAGCAGGCTATAGAGGTTTATTATGCTGAGGTCTCATCCAGATACTTCTTGGAGTGCGGCATGATTGTGGGACCGCACTCAACGAAGCTACCACAATCATGGGATACTCATCTGATCAACCCAGTGTACCTGCCATTTCAACCGTCGTTTTTGCAGATTTCAAGTTTTTCGTCGATGGCTACCAGCTAAGCCCAGAACCGGCATGTCGTTTTTCAAACGGCTTTCCAACCAAATTTTATGTTTTCGACTTTCAAGGAAGAATGAGCTGCATCAGAACGATTTGCTTCATCTTACAAGGACATAGAAAGATTTCCTTCGCACAGTTTCTCACTTCTGGTCATCTAACGGCTCCTGTTAGGTTTAATTGAAGTGTTTTTGCACGTGAGATAATACATTCTACATCAATAATTCGATAAGATATTTTTGAGCAAGTGTGTGATTTATGCTGGATTCGTTAAGGTGGCATGAACCCTTCGGGGAAAGTCTTCTAGGCTAAAAATTGATACGTTGAAACGATCTCTGAATTTATACTTTTGAATTGGGAATTTTGTAAAGTGAACAGCTGGCCAATTTTCGTTTTTCACCCTGTCGAAGTCGAGTGAATGTTGAACAATTGCCCGTTGTACCTGGGAACCACCATTTTATTTGAATTTCAAGGGATGGTAGACCGAAGTTGCGACAACAATTCCTTTTCCAATTTTACCCAAGAAAATACGGTTCTCACTATGTTTAACATGACATGTAACCATGTGAAGGCATCAGGACATTCCTGCAGGTATGGTGATCTTTTCTTTTTATGGTCGTTGGTGAGGTTTAATTATGTACGTAATTTAGGGGTTGAATACGTAAGCCGTCCAGAGGATTTTGACATGAATACCGAGGGCGTTGGAGCCTTATTACGAATTTTACATGCAATATGGATGTATTATTTTTCATTAACTAGGTCCCTATTGGTTCCCTATTTTATGCGTGCTCCCTTTTTAGGTCAGGTTTGGAGCCTTTGCATACCGAGATAGGTTTTGATTTTCACCTTGTAGGTTATATCAGGCGCTTCTGTCCGTCCCCCCCTTTCTGATTGGTTTTTGACCCGTCGTCCGTCCGTTTTTTCTTTTTCTTTGTCCTTTTAGGGTTTGCCCGTTTTGGGCTAGGTATGTTGGTATTGGTGTTTATTTTTTATCTTTTCTTTTTTGTGTTCCTCCTTTTGTGTTTATTTTAAATAAATAATTATTATTTTATTTTTATTATTATTTTATTTATTTATTTAAGGGCTACCGCCCCTGCCGCCGACCCCGGAAGAATGGTTAATGAATGAAACCAAATTGGCATTAATATTCTTCGATACTTCGCACTTTTAGGTTTTCCCCTTTTTCATATATTTTTATGCAATATATTTGATAAAATATTTTGATATAATAAGAAAACCCACCCATCAAACCCCTTTACCCCCCTGAGCAGTTCTTCGACGATTTTAACTAGAATGTGGGT